ATGCAAAAGACCTTGAAACGCTGGGCGGGACGCCCAGTGGACTCGCAGCAGTGGTGGTGTGGGCGGGACCGGGCTTCGGCTTCTTATTGGTCGGCAGATATGGTAAGTGGCAGTCCCACCGGCCTAACACTAAAGGGGCCAAATTTAGAACGTTGCGATATAGAACGTTGCTATTCAATTATTATAAGGGAGAGATAAGGCTAAACAAGCTGAAACGTAATCCTGACAGGAAAAAAGCTCTCTGGGTTAGTAGAAAGGCAGATCAGGGACTTAAGAGATCCCTGTCTTGGATGGGGGTTGTACTCCCCTTGAAAAGCCAGGTTTGCAGTTTGGAAGTGCTGTTTGACCCAGTTGGTCACCTTAGAAAACCAGGTGGCTGCTGCGGCTCAGAGTGCATTTGCCCAGCTACAGCTTTTGTGTCAACAGCCTCTGTTCCCGGGGTCAGTCAGATCTAGCCACAGTGATCCATGCCTTAGTTACATCTAGACTGGACCAATGCTTCCTCTAAGCTGTGGAGTCAGGTTTATTTAGGACTGCATTTGATTTAGCTTTTATTATTGGTAGTCCTATTCAGAGTTTTTACACTGTGACTTTTTAAGTCACATTTGTTGTGGGTTTTTTAAATATTTCATTTATATTGTAATCTGCCTTGATTCAGCAAGGGAGAAAGGTCGCTCAAATCCTTTAAAGAGAATTAATTAAATAACTAAATTTTACAGACTGGTGCATGCCTGGTTCCTCCTCACCCTTTCTTGCACAGAGCACAATGGAAGACCACCGAACTAGCTCTGGCTGCCAGTGATTTGTGAAAGTAGGTGCACTGTTTGGTTTGTGGAAGGAAACGCCGGTGGTTGTGTATAATGAGTGACTGGGGGTAGTCTTCAGCTACCATTCCTTCACTGTCCTGCCTGCAGAAGGGTGTGGCAGGGAGGGAAGTGGTAGTCAGTTGAATGCACATTACAAGTTGGATTTGTGCCTGCTTTTAGTTAACCATGATTGAACTGGATGCCTGAAGGAGGCATTATGGTGATGTGCACTGACGTTTTCTTCAGTGGCATGTATTGATATTGGTCCAGCAGCACCTGAAAACTATCAAGATTTTCAGGGTCTAAGTTTCAAGAGTCAAAACTCCTTTAGTTTCTGATGAAGGGAGCTTTGACTCTCAAGAGCTTATACCCTGGAAATCTTGTTTGTCTTTAAGCCTCTGCTGGGTTTGAATCTTTCTGTTCTACTGCAGACCAACACAGCTACCCGCCTATGTATTGATGTCGCAGGGTCTGAACC